ATAATCAGTTTGTTTGGATGGTTGTTACCTATTATATTTTATTGTAATGATAGTTTGCATATAACATTGTTTTGATTGTTATTTAAATTTTATTGTATGTCATTTTATGTGACGATTGATTTGATGTGATTGCATCTTTACCTTGTATTTCTTCTCATTTTCTCTTTGCTTATTATCTAATTCTATTTTATCATTTATCCTTTCTTTTTAAATAATAATTCTATTCCGTATCGTATTTTTCTTATATGCAAATTGATGTTGTGTGACATTATGTAATGACGAAAATAATAGAGTAAAGGTTCATAAACACACTCGAACTATATTGCTTTTGCGAGTTTAGTACCTGAACTATGCGAAGTTTGCATTAGGTACCTAAACTATCACCCTTCGGTTATAGAAACACATCTGAGTGCTGATTGGACCAAAATCGTGATTTGAAACACTACCGCGCGTATGAGTGATGTTTTAGACATTAAAAATCACCTACATGACATTCCAACAACTACGATTTGCTGAGTAAGCATTTTCCTTTTCTTTTTTTTAAAACTTTTTTAATCACTTTTAATTCTTCTTCTTCTTCGTTTTTTTCTTCATCTTTTCTGCAAAAATTGCAGATTTCTTTACTCCTCTTCTTCTTCATCTTTCTTCAATTTATTCTTCATTTTGTAATAATTCATCCCTTCTTCTTAAATATAGCTAGTTTTATCCCTCCTTTCCTCAATTTATTATTATATAATAAATTGAAGAATAAATTGAAAAAGATCTTTTTCTTTTATAAAAAGACCCCTACATTGCTATGAACTCCCCTTCTTCCTCCCTTCTCCCTTCTCTTCTTGGCTTCTCCGTCTCTCCTCTGTCCATTGCCATTAGATCTTCGAAGCCTATTAAAGTATTTGTTCTATTTGATTTTATGTTCAGTTTGTTTCGAAATTTGTGGCATTTTTGCTCGATTTTATTATTTTTTGCGTAGTAGTGTAAAAGATCTTGGTGGGTTCTTTCGAAATTTGTGCATTTTTTGTTCGACTTTTTAGTTTTTTTGTGTAGTAGTATAAAAAATCTTGGTGGATTCTTCAGAAGTGGATGAGTAAGTTGGTGGTGGAGTTTCTGCAGTATATTTAGGTTCTTGAATTTGGAGAAAAGAGTATTTTCGGTTTCTAGTTAAAAATAAAAAGAAAGAGTAATTATAAAATATATTTTAAAATTTATTTTTCAATTTATTTAAGTGTTTTCACGGTGGAAATAATTATACACGTGAAATTTTTTAAAAAGTAAACTGGTAAGTGTATCACATGCAAAAAATATA